GGGTGAGGGGAATTTGGTTTTTAGGTGGTTCATTAGTTGCTTGTAACTCCAGCTCCAGGAGATGCCCTCTTCTGGCCCTTGCAGGTACCTGTACTTACACACACACACACACACACACACACACACACACACACACACACACGCCTCTAAAAATAATAGTAAAACAAATCATTTTTTTTTTAATTAGCTTCTGACCAGGTGGTGGTGGCGCACATCTTTAATCCCAGCACTCGGAAGGCAGAGGCAGGCAGATCTCTGAGTTCGAACCCAGCCTGGTCTGCAGAGCTTGTTCCAGGACAGCCAGGGCTACACTGAGAAACCCTCTCTAGGGGAGAAAAATACTAATAAAACTTCTGAAAAGGCCAGGGAGGTGGGCTGATCGAGTAAAGGTGCCTCCTGAGCAAGGCCGATGATCTGAGCTCTCATCCTCAGAGCCCATGTAAAAGCCAGACAGAGTAACACATCTGTAACCCAGCACTCACGTCGAGAAGGAGACAGAGACAAGGGTCCCCAGAAACTCGGGGCCAACCAGCCTGGAGTGTCAAACAGGAAGACAGACCCTGCCTAAAACAATGTGGAAGGTCACCCAAGGCTGCCCTCTGACCTCCGTATGCACACCATAGCAATTGCATACTCCCAAATGCAGACATAAACAGACACATCATGTATGCATGAACACATAAAAATAAGTAGATGAATTTTAAAAGACTATCTTTTATGGCTATAAATGAAAATATGAATCAATATGCATAAAAGTATTTACCATAGTGCAATTATAACTGAAAACAAATTTAGTATTCAATTATAACATAAGTAGTAATTTGTGATAAACCCACATTAAATTCATGGCTTCCATATGTAGCTGTGAGAAATAGTTTTATTACAGTTACGAGATGATAATAGGTATGAAAGATAGAATATCAAACTGATCATGCTCATAAACTGCTTTAAAAATAAGATTTAAAGATCAATTAAGCCGGGCATTGGTGGCACATGCCTTTAATCCCAGCACTCGGGAGGCAGGGGCAGGCAGATCTCTGTGAGTTCGAGGCCAGCCTGGTCTCCAGAGCGAGTACCAGGGGATAGGCTCCAAAGCTACACAGAGAAACCTTGTCTCAAAAAACCAAAGGAAAATAAATAAATAAATAAAATAAAGTTCAATTAAGATGGATGTTTTTGCTTGGTTTTTTTTTTTACATGTTATTTATTTTGTTTGTGTTTGTATGTATGTGGGCACACATGTGTGGAGGTCAGATAACAACTTTCAGGAGTCAGTTTTCTCTTTCTATTGTATAGGTCCTGGGGACTGAACTCAGGTCAATTGCCTTTATCTCACTGAGCCATCATGGCAGCCAGCCCTCTTGTAGGTTTTTGAGACAGCCATCTGGCTCTTTATTCCAGGCTGATGCCTTAGCCTTCCAAGGGTTGGGCTTGCAGGGATGTGACACCTTGAAATATTTGATTCTATTATTATCATTTGTCTATACTTTCCTTGTTTCCATAGCCCATATGCCTTGACTATTTTCTGGTCTTCAGGCTGATAGAACTTTCTCCCTTTCCTACAACTTCAGACCATAGTATGTTTCTGAAAGTCCACCAAGAGGTACAGTTTAGATAGTAGCTGACAAAAAATACTTCACATATTAGATAATTATACATTAACTAACCTTGGGGCTTTTATAGATGTCATTATAACTTTGTGCTTTAATATGTCTGGTATCCTGGCGTATGGTTGCATTTATCAGTAGAGTTTACTTTAAGATTGAAATAATAATTTTACAGCCCAGTCTGAATGGCAGCAGGGCACTCCCCGAGGGCAGCCTGCAAGGCAGATGCTCTACTAAACCACTGCCTTCAGCTCCATTTGCCACGGGTCATATCTTTCTCTTGCTCTCTTGACCTTATCTGACTTCTGTATAGGTTCTTCAACTCCAATCTGGTTCTCCATCTCCCTTGTCTTCTTAATGGCCTGCTCTCCTCCAGACATGGTAATTTGAAACCTGGTGCAGTCAGAGCCCATGCTGTGATTTCCTGAGGCTCTGAGTTTGCTTGAAGTCCTGTCCCAGTTTTCCTGGCTTGTCCCAGGTCCTTAAAGCCCCGACAACACTCCCAGGAAGCAAGGCATACACTCCTGGACAAGTTATTTTTTTCAGTTCACAGAACAGTTTCCCAGAAGCTGTTGAGGCCTGGGCCTGGCCCCTGGCCCGGAGATCTGGCACCCTCCGGTGGCAGTGGGTAGGTGTGCCTTGGCTCCTGGTAAACTTCAGCTTTAGATCTTATGCCCTGTCCCCTGGCATCCTCCGGTGGCAGTGTAAAGGGACCTGCTATCAGGTCTTGGTGAGTCCCACTTCTGCCAAATCCCTAACCATTCACCACCTGTTGTCTGTTAATAGAGAAATTCAAAGAAGATCCTGTCTTCCTTCTCACACAAATGTATTTTATATCAAGGTAGGCACTTATTTATTTGGGTGTATAGATACACAAGCCATGGCTTGAGTGAGGAGATCAGAGGATAACTTGTAGGAATTTAATTTTTTAATTAATTTAAAGCCATACATTGGGTCAGGTGTCAATTAAGCTGGGTTTGGTGGCACATAACTATAACCCCAGCACTTAGGGGGCAGAGGCAGGAAGATCATGAGTTAGAAGCAACCCTGGGCTACACGGTGCATTTGAGGTCAGCTTGAATGACACTGGGGAACCCTGTCTCACTAAATGTAAGAGAAAGAGGAGGAGGACAGAGCTTAAAAAATAAAAAAATAAAAAAAGTAAAAAAATAAAAAAACTTGAACCCTTGGTTCAGTTATTCCTAAAACCCAGGAGCCTCTTCTTCAGACTGGGTTTTGGCATCAGACACTAGTCCTTGCAATACCCGCCCCCTTTACATCTATTTGATGTGGTTTTCTTTGACTTGCAATGCAGAGGCCCTTCTGAAACAGCAACCAAGCAGCGCGCTTTTGAAGAGAGTCGACGCATTAATAACTAGAGCAACATGGGACAGAATGTTGATGAGATTATCTCTTCCAAACTGTTGGTTACAAGAAATAGTCAAATTACTAGAGACGTGTTACTCCCAGGCCACTCAAAAGGAAGACTCATGAAAATTATGTATACCAAAACCTGGGCTGACTGAGCCAGGAAGCCTGCAGCAGAGCACTAGGGAACAGCCATTGTTTTCTCTTTGGGGCCCTTTGACCTCTCAGTGAGTCAGCCTGGCCTCCACCCCACCCCCACCGACCTTTTCAACCTACCCAACACCTGACTGCAAAAAACCTGGCCCCTCTAGCCTCTGAGTCTCTATGGTCTTCTGGTTTTGGCACATAACTGAATCGAACTGTCCCTTTGTGTCTCTTACTGCAGGTTTCCAAGAGAGAAGCCTTGACTTCTGCTATCTTTTAAAACCAAAGTACATGGGGCAAAGGTTGCTGGATATGGTTTATAGCCACACATTGGGCAGGTATTCAATTAACTGTGATCGTGGTCATGTGACTCACTGCCCATTTTGTCAGGTGGCTCGGTAGAATTTTTATCAGGAAGGGCTATGGGCATGACCAGTCATAATTGGTATCTCTTACCAAACCTAGTTAAGTGTAATTTGAGCTCTAGCCAATCAGAAAGATTAGGCCTGTTGTAAACATGGGCAACCCACTCCCCAAAGGCTGGCTCTAATTATCTCAGGTTGGCAAGAGAATTCACCTCTGGTCCTTGGAGGTATGTAGCCATCCTCTACCTCATTGTGTACCTTCTGCAAGTCCCCAGACCCACCTGCACCTGCCTTAAATGTTCTGCAGTGAGCTAGATGACTCCACTCACTTGGGAGTCTATTAATTCTCTTCTCCCCTTAACCACACTAAAGACTTTGCTTAGTAAAGCATTTTGGAGATTTAGAAAGTGACTGCTCAGTCTGCTCAGGATTTATATCCCAAACAGATGTGCCAAGAAGTCATAGGCATCAAACTGCTGTTCTGTGAGTGGAATAATATATTAACTTGCTTTCTAGTGGTTCCGATTACACAGCTGTACAAATTGCAGTGGAGTCTTCGGAGCTAAAGATGCTTTTATCTGAAATGCATCAGGCCTTCAGGATGGGGGTTTCAGCACAGTGGATACATTGAGGAGCAAGCACACACCCCCATAAAATACTTCTCTTTACCAGGAAGAAGGCCATTCAGGTAGCTGAGAGATGGTTGAACTTAGCTCCCCGCAAAGAACCTCCTGTCCTTCATCACAATAACTGAACTGAGCTGTGTGTGGTGGCGCACACCTTGAATCCCAGCACTTGGGGGGCGGGGGGCAGAGACAGGTGGATCTCTGTGAGTTCAAGACTAGCCTGGTCTACAGAGTGAGTTCCAGGACAGCTAGAGCTACACCCTGTCTCAAAGAAAAATATCAATAATAGTAATGATAATTGAACTGGATATTGTTCTATAATGAAAACGAGGCACCCTTAAATAATAGCACCTTTGTCTGACCCCTTCAGTCTCTTGGAGCCTCACTTTCTTCATTCAGAATATTAGTACTTGTTAGGGTTTGAATGTGAAATACACCCCCATCCCCTCTCAGGCTCTTGTGTTTGAACACTTGTCAAGATGGTGGCACTGCTTGGGGAGCTTGCCTAACAGGCAAAGAGAGGGCCTGAGGAGTTATAGGATGTGTAGGGCTTAAGGGTCGTAGACCCACACTGCATCCAGTGGGAGCTCTTGCCTTCCTGGTCCTCTGAGAGGCAAACAAGCAGCCTCACACACCCATCATCACTGTGGCCACGCCTTGTCTCATATCTACTGGTGTGTGAGCCAAAAGTAACCCTTCTTCCCTTAGCTACTTTTGTCATTTAACCTATCACAGTGGCCACAAATGTAACTAATATAACATCCATCTTGAGAAGTTGCTGGAAGAGCCAGTGTTGGTAAATAAAGAACTTAGCAATATAGAAGAATAGAATCAATTGAATGGATATATATTTACAAAGGAGATTTATTTGGTCCACTTCCACCGTATAGGTCCAGCAGAACTTGTCTTCATGATGGAGATGGTAAGAGCATGGTCTCTGCTTACTTCACAAAGCTAGGTGCTTCATCAGTTACGATGTGACATGGAAGGACTGGAGAGTACCAGCAAGGAACCAAGGTAGGCAGGCCAAAGTAGCACTGCTTTTTCCTTGGACCTCCTTATATCTGCGTCTCTACTGAGAGAGGGTCTCCCTCCACGCTACTTAATTCTTCCAGGAAACACCCTCGAAGACACACCCAGAGGCACGTTGATCCAACTGCACACAAGATCCCAGAGCCACTCAAATAGATAATGAAGACTCTCTACCACAGATAGGATCTCTCTATTTTGCATAAGAGACTGAACTCAAACTTGAAGCTCTCCCATCTCAGTCTCCCAAGTAGCTGAATTTGCAGGTGTGTGCCACTGTGCCTGGCATTAAATTCCATTTTTTTACTATTTGTCAAGGTATTCTCTTTTTTTTCCCCCCCAGCATAGTTCCTCTTTTTGTGTAAAAATAATGTGTGGATGCATGGTCATAATTATATACTCATTTTTAGCACAACAAATAGTAAAGCCACACGTTGGCACAGAGGTTCTCACCCTAGGGTTACAAACTGTCTCCAAAAATATTTACATTACATAAAATAAATATATTCATAACAGCAGCAAAATTACAGTTATGAAGTAGCAATGAAAATAATGTTATGGTTGAGGGGTCACCACAGCACAAGGAATTAGTATGAAAGGGTCAAAGCATTAGGAGGGTTGAGAACCACCTGATCCACAGTTGTGAGTGATGTCGGCATGGAAGTCTCTGACTTCCCATTGACTGAAGTTTGATAATAGGCTTTTTAGAGAAAAGAGAGACTGAACACTGTCCAAGAAAAGTCTTCTACAATCATCTAAGAATTGCTACTGCCGGATGGTGGTAGCACACATCTTTAATCCCAGCACTTGGGAGGTAGAGGCAGGAGGATCCTGGTGAGTTCAAGTGCAGCCTGGTCTACAGAGCGAGTGCCAGAATAGGCTCCAAAGCTACACAGAGAAACTCTGTCTCAAAAAACCAAAAGAAGAAGAAGAGGAGGAGGAGGAGAGAAAGAGAGAGAGAGAGAAAGATGAAACACCATGAGCAAAGCAACTTGAGGAGGAAAGGGTTTATTTGGCTTGCACTTCCATATTGCTGTTCATCATCGAAGGAAGTCAGGACAGGAAAGCAAACAGGACAGGATCCTGGGGGCAGGAGCCATGGAGGAGTGTTTCTTACTTGTTTACCCACCATGGCTTGCTCTGCCTGCTTGCATATAGAACACAGGACCACAAGCCCAGGGATGGCACCACCTACAAAGGGCTGAGCCCTCCCACATCAATCACTAATTAAGAAAATGAATGCCCCACACACTTGCCTGAAGCCTGATCACACAGCTTCAATTTTCTCAGTCCAGGCTCCATTGTCTCTGATTACTCTAGCTTGTGTCAAGCTGACATAAAACTATCCAGGACACTTACTATATAAAAAAAGTTGTCACCAGGGCAGGAGAGATGATTGATTCAGTGGTTTAAAGCACTTGTTGCTCTTGCAGAAGACCTGGGTTCAATTCCCAGTAACCACATGGCACCTCACAGTCTTCTGTAACTCCAGTTTCAGGGACTTCACAGCCTCTTCTGGCCTCTGTGGGTACCGGGCATGCACACAGTACACAGACATACAGCAGGCAAAACACCCAGGCACATGAATTATAGATAAATAAATCTTAACAAAAATCATCACTTCATAAGTCACATGAGTTAGAATCTACAGATGTGAGAAATTCATCTTCACAAAACTGAATAATTTGAAACTGTCACATACAGATTTTTTTCTTTTTCTTTTTTATTATTATTTTAATTAATTAATTAGTTTATTTATTTATTTTTGCATTTTGAGACAGGATTTTTCTGTAGCTTTGGCTGTTCTGGAACTCTTTCAGTAGACCAGGCTGGGCTCGAACTCAGAGATCCAGTTGTTTTTGCCTCCTGAGTGTTGGGACTAAGGCACATGCCAGCACACCTAGCTACATGTACAGATAGTTAAATAATCTTTTACGAACCATTTTTAAAAATCAAATATGGAGGGTTGGTGAGATGGTTCAGTGGGTTCACCATACCTGACAATCTGAGCTCAGTCCCTGGAATCCAAGTGGCAGAAAGACAATTGACTCTCACAAGTTGTCTTCTGACCTCCATCTGAGCATCATGTACCCACCTACACACACACACACACATTTATCGAATAAATATGGAAAAAGGATTAAAACCCTAATATTCAATAAAATAGAGTAAGAAGTTAAGAAGTAAAAGACCCTTAGAATGACCAGAAGGATTCATGAAAGTACCAAATAGAACATGTAGGTATGAATGTTGTCTTAGTTGAATTTCTATTTCTGTGAAGAGACACCATTACCACAGCAAGTCTTATAAAGGTTAATTGGAGGTGTCTCACAGTTTCAGAGGTTTAGTTCATTATCCTCATGGCAGGACATGGTGGCATGCAGGCAGACATACATGATGCTGAAGAAGGAGCTGAGAGATGTACAGCTTGATCCATAGGCAACAGGAAGTGAGCTGTGACACTGGGTGTAGCTTGAGCATAGGAGACCTCAAAGCCCACCCCCACAGTGACACACTTCCTCCAACAAGGCCACTCCTACACCAACAAAATCTCACCTCCTAATAGTGCCACTTCCTGTGGGTCCATTTTCTTTCAAACCACCAGAAATATAAACATTATAAAATTAATAGCCAGGTATTATAAAAATTAAAGCCTCACACCCTTAATCCCAGCTTTTGGGAGGAAGAGGTTGGATCTCTGTGAGTACGAGGCCAACCTGGTCTGGGGAATAAGTTCCAAGAGAGGCTCCAAAGCTACACAGAGAAACCCTGTCTAGAAAAACAAAACAACAAGTAATAACAATAATAAATAAAAATAAAATTAAAAACTCTGAGTGTGTTTTAAAAAACAGACATTTGAAAGTCCCATAGAAGGAAGCTGGGACAGCTCCTAAGAGCCAACAGTAAGCAACCAGAATTTGCTTGTTTCTCTCAGAAAGGAGAGTGAGGAGATGACTCAGCTGGGAAGAACATTTGCTATGCAAACCTGAGTTCAAATCCACAGAGCTACATAAGAAGAAGCTGAATGTGGCTGCACTGGGGTCTGTAGCTCCAGCACCAGGACAGACAGAGATGGGGGAGCCAGCCTAGCTCCAGGCTCAGTAAAAGACTCTGGTGCAAGTCAACGAGGAGGAAGAAAATGACACAACAGTACACTTGAGTGTAAGTGTAGACACACTGCATACAATGTGCATACAACACATACATGCACCTGCATGCAAACGCATGCACACACACACACACACACACACACACACACACACACACACTCTTTTTTTTTAAAAAAAAAAACCTAAGATAGCATATTCGTGCTCTCACCAACACTCTGTATTAATTACTATTATTTCTTTTTCATGGTAAGGACATTGGTTGAAAGGGAAAGGCCAGCATCCTCCAGACAGATGGTAGCAGACACACAGTGTGAACACAATGGAAAAGGCAGGTCCTAGAACCACTTCGGGTATATGCAACAACACAGGTGACTGTTAGAAACTTATTTTTTCTTTTTTTGAGGCTGGATCTTATGTAACCTGGGCTGTCCTCAATTCCTGATCCTCCTGCCCATCCCCTCCCTCTAGGGGCTGAGATTGCTGGAGTAAGCAAGCCACCAGACCCTGCCCAAAACATGAGTCTGAGCGAAAAAAGAAAAATAAAAGTAGCAGAAAATATTTTATAAATAAATTTTCACAAACTAAAAAAATGATACAATGCTTAGATATACAGCATATACTGTTATAATTTTTGTTAGTGCTGTTTTGAGACAGTCTCTTTTTTTAGCCCACGCTGAGTTGGAAATCACTCTGCAGCCTAGGCTGGACTTGCTAGTATTACAGGCACTACATCTGGCTTAAACTGTTTTCAAAGAGCAAGAGAATGATACTTTTACTAGATTCTTGCTATGCGTATTTGAGAATCATTGGTTAATCTTGTGACTCCTGATAGAGGACTATAGTTCAGCTCTAGAAACTACCTGCTGATCTTTTAAACCTTGTATTTGATTCTAGATCCAATCACTTTCACAGCAGTGACATTACTGACAGGTCAAGGTGCACTGCTGTTGGCAGTGGTCAGGACTTGGTCCTTGTCTACAAGGATAGCAGAAAGGAGGCAGAGAACACGGAAGAAAGGACAACTGCCTTGGCTGAGAGGTGATGGGTGAGCCTGCAGAGGGCTGGTGGAAGGTTTGAACTGTGAGGTTGGGCTAAACCAGTGATCCCAAGATGACTCTCCTGCCCAGGTCCTGGCAGAAGGTATGTGAGAATCTGCAAAGCTCGCAAGCAAAGGGCACACAGCCACCCTTCCCTTGCTCACAGTATGGTCCTCAGAGGGCTTTTGAGAGCTCACTCCATTGCCCTGGAATCTGCATAATGTGTTTGTGTATTTACCCACAGCACGTCTTCAAAGTTTCTCCTGGGAACTCATCTCCCTTGGGTTCCTTGGCTGCAGTTTTCCCCTTAATAGTTGGGACCACTCCACCTAGGGATCCTATCAATTTTCTCAAGAACAGATGCCATCCAGGGGCCCATGTGAGGTAGGGGATTTCCAGGTGATAAAAAGAATACACTTGAGGAGTTTCCCAAGGATGCTTTTTTTTAATTTTTATTTTTTTATTATTATGTGTGTGTGAGGGCCTGCACATGCCACAACACGCATGTGGGGGGCAGAGGACAACTTCACAGAGTCAGTTCTCGCCTTCCATCTTTACGTGGGTTCCAGGGATCAAATCCAGGTCAGGGCTTGCATAAGCACCTTTACTGGCTCAGCCGTCCCACTACCCTCGGCCTCAATAGTGCCTCACATCTATCAGACTCTTGGTGGTATCCTGGATTCCAGAGGTGAAAAACCACAGCAGAACACTCTGCTCCCCAGCTTTACATGTCTCGGGGCTCACCTGCTCAGGGTCAGTGGGTGTCCCCAATCCCCAATTCCCTGCTTCTTCATTGGCTTCTAAGGATGAGGGTCTTCTCCATGCAGCTGGCCTGACCTGGTAAAGCCTCCGGTTTCCACTGGGTAGACTCTGATGGAGAAGAGACTGAGCTCCTGTAGCTTAAGGGCAGGAGCTCCTTGTTGGGGACTCCTACACCAGAGTCCTGATTTCCACCAAAGGCTGGATTCCAGGTTAGGTAGTTTGTCTTCCAGAAGACAGGTGCAGGTGCGCATGGCTTTGAAGGACTTCGGAAGCGAGGTACTACACGGGGGAGGTGGGGGAGGTGGGGAGCATTCCAGGCAGGAAAGCAGGAGTTCACATGAGCTGCTCCTGGCCCCAGACCAATAGGAAGCTTTTGAGTCCATGGTGAACTCACGAAACC